GTCAAAGTCAAAGGGGATGGCGGCCATGGTTGGTCTCGAGGTCGGCACCCTGACTTCCCAGCTGCGAGGCCGACCTGACTCAGTGCCAAGATCGATAAAGGACCACGGACACCGGAGGACGGCCAGAGACTGACGCAGCCCAGCTCGGTACCCTACCAGCCTGATTCTCGTAGGTGTTAAGGACCCAGAAAACAATTAAATAAGGCCACTTGCCAATCAATGATTGCCGATGGGACAACCCAGACTAGTCTGCAGGACTAGGACGTCTAGCTCGACCAAGGAGTATGTCCGCATGAAATACAGCCCACACCCGCATTAAATGCGTGGCAGGTAATGATTGGAAAATCCAGGAATCACTCTCAATCAGTCAGAGAAACGCCGGTCCGTCCCGTCGAACTACTGTGCGACAAGACCGGTGAACAGTACATGAACAGTGCCGCATTAAAGAGCACTATAAATAGCAACCCCCTTATTTATTTTTGGGTGGTTGAATCTCAACTGTCTCTACTCTCTCTACATTTTCTCTCTCTAAACTTGTAAGAAATTTGTGTAAGAATTTGTAAGTATATCGCAAGTGCCGACCTCGTACGAGAGGCCGACCTCGTGATCAGTTAATAAAATCATATTTGAACTGTATTTCTTTGTCTTTTCCACATTACCTTTTTATTATTCATCTTTTTAACCGTTGACCGGAAACGCCCGTCAACATGTGGCACTGTTCAGATGTTGTTCACTGGTCTTGTCGTACAGTATCCTCGCAGAGCAATCCGGCACCTCCCTGACAAAATTTTATGCGATTTGAGGTTTTTCTCATCATTGCCTGGCAGGCATTTAATACACACATGGGGGTCATTTAATGCTGGCAGGCTTTATGTCTTGGCTAGTGGATGTAGATCTGCAGGCTAGGACGTCCCGTCCAATCACCAATGATTGCTTTTCAAGTGGCACTATTATATTGTTATCGAGATCGGCATCCGTCATTGGAGGTATGTTCTGAGACCTCAGGTCGGCTCCTGCTTCCGTTTTGCTCCTTCGGCCCCGGGGAGCCTTCCTCCAGCCCGTCACTCATCAGGCCGGCACCGGTACTTTGCTATCGCAAACACCGGGTTAATGGATGGACCCATGGGGGTGTCAGGGTCAATCAATTTCGGAGTTCAGCTCGGCACCTTTGCACTCGACCGAGTCTCTGGTTCGGCCCTCGAAGCTGCCTTGTCCGGTTTCTTTTCGGGGGCGAATTCGGATGTCAACAACTTCCTTACCAGCACAAGAGAAATACTGGTTTTTCCAACTAACTAGCTTAGCCCTGACAGCATTTAACACAAATTCAAAGGATTTCTTTTTTTATCTACCAATACCAAAGGGTAACCCTAGGTACCTGGTAGATCTATGCACTTGAATTACACCCAACCGCTGACAAATCAAAGCCTAATCAGTTTGCAAACAATTTTTACTAAAAAGAATAGAGGATTTGCTCAAGTTTACATTTTACCCAGTGAATTCTTGATACTTGTTTAGCAAGGTAAGCAAAATTTGAGCATACGCTACATCAGCTTCACAAAGCACCAAAGTGTCGTCAACAAACATAATGTGAGAAACATGAGGATTTTTCCTTACTATCTTCAACCCTTTAAAACTACCTTTTTCACCCTTTAAAACTACCTTTTTCCACCTCATAATTCAGTAATCTGATGAGAATGAAAATAAACGTACGTCAATTTCTACTTAACTTATTTGGTTTGTAATTAAAAGAGATGAAATATCGTAAATTTGGTGCTACTAAATTTCTAGTTTAAACTCGAAATAAACTTTTCATGATCATGTATGATGTTTGACAATGTTGACAATTTGGTGCCTATGCCTATCACATTCATTTCATTCGTTTTATTTATTTAGTGTTTTATCACCGTCAACCATTATTGACATGTAGTGTATATTTTACAACCGATTGCCTTTCTACAAGCTCCAAATTTATACCATTTGTCAATTCATATACTTACTACTAACAGTAATAATATTCCATCATCCATTAATTATATAATATACAAGATTGAACTTTATCATTATGTCACTTTTTGAAATGGTGTTTGATATATGTTGTATGGGGTTTTGGAAGCCAATAATTATCTCCATAATGGAGCCAACCTTCTATATACAACAAGTAAATCTACCATGTTTTTTTATTACTTAAATGACACTAATATAATATGGTAGGTTTATTTGTTGTGTATAGAAAGCTGACTCCACTACGGAGCCAACTGTTGGCTTCATAACAAAACCGATGTTGTACGCTATCCCTCCTTAATATAATTTGAAAACGTGCTGAGCCTAAATGGCTGACTCGCACGCTTCGGAAGCTTACTTGGCAACTTTACATGTTTCGGCGTTTGGTTCGGATAAAAATTAATAGAATTATATTCTAAAATAAATAGATTCGAAAATAGGATTTCTGATTAATCCGATCCGCTTCAACTCATAACTAGGATTCTTATATTATTCTTATAAAATAAATAGGATTCTTATCTTATTCTTATATGCAGTGTAAAATTTTTTCTCATTTCTTTCAATTCCAAAATAAATATGATTCTTATTTTGCTTAATATTATAATATATTAAGGAGATGCAAGAAACTGGACTCTTATATTAGTATTTAGTAGGACCCTGATGTAATAATCAGTCTAGGCACGTCGAGTCTTCTTCTATCTTTCCCTGCCTCGCATTATCTCTCTTTCCGGCTAGAATGATTCTCAAATGGGAAATCGTTCGTTTTGTTCTCCTTCTTCCTCCGGATGCGCGCCGCAGAATCCGCGAGAAGAATATTCAGGAGCAAATAAAGAATGATCCCTCCGTCTTCTATATTAGCTACACTGGTTCGTATCGATTTTCTGTTTTAATTAGTCCCTTATGAGATTGAGTTTTGAAACGTAGTTATGGCAAAGTTGTGTTATTTGAAGTAATTATGTTGGCTTCTGTGGTTATACTCGTGTGGTATTATTCGGCAAATGCTTAATGTTTTCATGTTGGAATAATATGACACATGTCCAATTGAAATTTTGAGAGGGAAGCCACAGCCATTCAAAGAGAAGCTTACCTTCAAGGATCCGTAAGTGCTATAAGTCATTATTGCTACATCTTTTGTTGTTGATAATAATAATAATAATAATAATAATAATAATAATAATAATAATAATAATAATAATAATAATAATAATAGTTATAGCATGGACGAATTATGCATAGATATCTATCTACATTAATAGGTTAGAGATGCCGTGTAGATTTAACATCCACATTAGTAGGACTGTGTTCTTATTCTACTAAATATTATAATATATTTTTGTTTAATGCAATTAATAAATCGGTGAAGGATTCTTATTTTTGCTTAATCCAATTAATAAATCGGTGTGAGAAAGGATTTTAACAAATCTCGGTTTTCACATTATTTAAATAACCATCCCCTTTTATTCTGATTCCCCATTCATCTCGATTATTCATCTTACAAAAATTGAATTTATCATGACAACTATTTTCAACACAATTGGAGAAATAACATCGGCTAAAGAAACATGGAAAATACGCGTCCATAGTGAGCGTGTATGGTTCAAACATGACAAGAATCAACATGAAAATCGTGTTGCAATGGAGATTTGTGTCTTAGACGAAACGGTACACTATTATTTAATATTCTCCTGTTTTATAATAAGTTCTTTAAAAAAATAATCTAATCTTCTCTAATAATACTAATTTCATTGTATTCTTGTCTTCTCTAATAATACGAATTTCATTATATTCTTATAGGGTAGAAAAATTCAAGCGACCATTCCGAGATGACTATTAATAAGAGCCAAGTAGACATTGTCTAACGTCGGATGTATTTGCTTGATCCTGTATTTAGTCAGTCAACTTTATGTTGCATTATCTACAGTTAAATAAAAACTATTAATGTTGTACATGTACAAAGATATTTTTCAAAATTTAAAATAATATCGACTTTGGTAATTTTTTATTTTTTTTGCACTTTTATATGACAACATGTATTTTTCCTATGATTTTATGTTTTAATTTTTTTTACAAACAACCCGTGTAGTACACGGGTATCGTACTAGTCTTATTTACATCTATATATATATAATTACTAGCTAATAGAATTTAATAAAACCTATTTAATCTTACCTATGTGGCAATTTAACAATTTTTCCTCCAAAAACCGTTACATTTTGATGTATTTAATCTTTCATTTAATCATTAAATAATTAATACTCATCACTTCAAAATTACAAAAATCATTTTAAACTTTTGATTAATGACAGTTGACCATATAATGTGTTGACCGTATAATGTGATTAGATGTTATTATTGTTGTTACATTTAATTTTTTTTTTAAAATAAAAAATATATTTAAAATTCCTAAATAAATAATAAATAATTCAAAAATAAAAGACGTACCAAAATATACATTACATCCAATCAGATAACGCAATTTAAAAAAAAAATATTCCAACTCTTTTAATTGTAAATTTGGTCTGCAAAAAAGTGAAAGAAAAATAATTAATCATTATATGTACAGACTCACAATAATTTATTTATATATGTGCAAATGCACAGGTCGAATACTAGTTCAAATAAATTTGGTTTGATATGTGATAAGACTATTAGATTTTTAATTCAAGTAACTAATCAAATAATTTTATCGTACATTTTTACATTTTCAGTCACCGTTACTTTTTCAGCCATCATTCATAAAACTGTTACCTATAAAATTAAAATTAAATTAGTAGTTATCAATTAACTTATGAGTAAATTTCCCACACATATCCTAGCTATTTGTTTTCTAATTATTATATGGGAACAATAACAAAGCCCGTGAAGTTTTATGTTCAACACGCTACTCTTGCCATAGTCCAAACAAAGCAACAATCCAATTAGTCAACCCCATTTAACTTGGCAAAAATGAACTAAAAGAACAGAGAATTTAAGAGAGAGAGAGAGAGAGAGAGAGGCTACATAAAATTTCAACAATTAGAGAGCAAGACAACATAAATGAAGGAAAAATAATAAGTTTTTCAGTTACATAGTACAGAGAACAAACAATTGCAAGTTTGCAATATTCTACATACATCACAGACCTACAAAAACAAAATGTAAAGATAATCTTTATAGAGAAATAATCTTTCTATGCAGATGCGCACCAGATGAACTCACTTCCCCATCATGATCGTGAAAAATGAGGGTCAGAACTCCAACTAAACATAGTACTGATCCCACAAGAAGCTTGTCATAACGTTCGACCCAATGGAACTTCAGCTGGCTCGCCCCATAGAACGACAGGGCCACCAGGGACGTCATTACAGTGATTGTGCTGCGATTTTCAAAATATCACAGCACGTGAGTTAATAGTTAATACTTGGAGGATTTTTTTTCCTATTTGGCAAACTAAAAGATTAGAAAGTGTAAATTTCAAAAGCAAGCGTGAAAACAGAAATTCTTTTCCACAAATTCAAAGGCCGAAGCTTTCGCTGACTTTCTGACACAATTATTAACTTTTTGGAAATTGAAAAGCCGTGTCACATGCATATCATAAAAGCGGGCAGTAGGATTTTGAACTATTTTTGTAGGGAAGTGGAAGGAAAATCATACAGGTCTAAGTATGCAAGGGATAAAAAAAATGTCAATTAGTTCATATAGCATTACAAATCAAATATCAGGTTCCATCAAATCAATCTCCGACTATCGATTTAACAAAGAGTTAATTTCGATGCTAGCCTGATAATAAAAAGAAGCACCAGTTCCCAAAAGTACAAAAATTCTTCACATTTGTTTCTAATAATCAAATTGAAAACTCAAAACAAAGGATGTTGTTTTATCATTTATGTAACTACAAGCATTAAAGAAAGATTGTCAGCATTTGAACAGTTGCCTGTGTTATTTTGAAAGATACATAAATAGTTCCTGTAGTTCAGCCAAATCTCAAGTTATTACGCCTTTAATTAATGCTAGCTTCTGACAAGAATCATATGCCTACAACAAAGTCCAATAATGTCCAGCCATGAAAATAAACAACAACAAAAATAATATTGGTTTTTTACCTGAATAATAATACTATGATGGCAAGAACCATCATAGATGACGAGTTTCCAACAGCAAGAAATACTGGCAGAGTAGTTGCACAAGGAGACAAGGCCGGGACAAGAACAAGACCAGCAACTGCCATTTTCTCCATGGGTTGATTGTGAGAATGGCAGTGGCCACCCTTACCTTTCAGATATAAAATCACGTAACTTCCACCAAGAACAATCAGCAACAAAGATGCCAGTTTGTGAACGGTTTCCTCCCCTGCTATAGTGTTTGTTATGGTGATTGCTGTTATGCCAAGCAGTGAAGTTGAGAGCACATGCAAAACAGCGCCAAATGCAGCTGCATGCAGACTACACATCAGCATTCATAAAAACTTCATCAAATTTTCAAAAAAAAAAAAAAAAATGATTTGTATTATAATTGAAAAAGGATTTGGAGTTTTTAGATGTACTAGAGCGGTTCAAATACCCAAGAAGTGACAATTTTTAATAATTCATAGTCCAGAAGAATCAAGTTTTTTATGTTCAGCATAAGAAACAAAAGCATTAGCGAGATAGATTTAATATTTAAAGATACAACATCTTAACAGAGTTGATGGTCAATTGAATTTTTATTTAAGTTGCCGAAGCCTGATAAAGTTAGCTGGCATTTTGTGTCGACCAAGCAATCTGGTGGAGCCAAACATTTGTGTTGATTAAATTCCAGAAGGGTCGAGTCAATGGTGCCGGCAATTTCTAGAATATTTGTTTGATAAGGGATTCACGGGCACAACACATGCTAGACAAATTGAGCTATTGGCGCTCATTTGTATTTCAGGTTCAATCACTAAAACTGTTGGAAAATCGCATGACAATCAGAAATGGGCTTCATCTTTCATAAGTGCATAATGATTAATGAAAACTCTACGAGGCATGGGCTGCAGTTACTTTTGTTAATCAGCCAAAACGTCACATAAACAAAAAGGAATTGTGCAAAAACTGTACACATTATCACATTGCAAGGAATAAGTTGATTGACATCCGATGTACCAGAAATTGTTCAATCACTTTCGTCGATAATACTTAGCTTCATCAGATCAGATTTTCCACGGATTCTACTTGCATTTTCCAAATCTATAATTGTCAAAACTCCGAAGGACAATAAAACATCAATAGATTGCATCTTTCTCGTTTTGCTCACTAATTTCCAACACAATATTATTTTTTTCTCTTGGCTCATTTGTCTGGGTAGGACATTGTAAGTTTATCACCAATTACACGCTCATTTCCAACATGATCTATCTTGTAAAAACAACAACAAAATTCAATAATTACACAAATGCTAACACCAACCCCACTTAAGCTAAATATGAGTTGAAATATGAATTTCTGAACTGATTATTCCCACATTCTGTACCCATGATAAACCACGTAACGCTAATTTATCCACCAAACTGCAAAATCAATAAAAGAAAATCTCCCATATTACACTAAAAATCATCAATATTTTCTATATTCCAATCCAGAACCAAATATTGCAAATCACATCCTGTATCTCACACAATAATCAAATCCCAGAACACCCTTCGCAAGAAAGGTCACTCTTTATCCAAAAAAATCTCAAATTCGGAAATCCCATATACACAAACACAAGGAAAAACTTACTAACGAGGAGGGTACGAGAAAGCGTCCATTTCTGAGCTCGGCCCACAATAGAGAACGGCAGCCAGTGCGTCGGAATGAACGAGTGGAGCAAGGACACGGTGGCTATGCCGCCGATCGTTGATAGATCTTCCGCATTAATACTGAATTTTCCAGTCTCCATTAATCCTCGTCTTTCTCGTCTATTNTTTTTTTTTTTTTTTTCCCTTCAATTTATTTTATATTCTCTCTACTTTGCGGATTACGGAAATTCAATCAGATTTGTCGGATTCCTATCAAATTACGATGCTATAACAGAAGATTCTGTCAGAGAACAACAGAATTTCGAGTTGATACTTGATAGAGTGAGCGATACGATTTTGCGTGGGCTCTGAAAGAAATAGTGTTGACTAAATACCAAAGTTTTGAAAACCGAGCCCGTCATCGAACCGGTAAAGCTATTGATTCAATGATTCACTGGTCGAACCAGTGGTCGAATCAGTCGAACCGGTTTAATAATATATATAATTTTTTATTTATTTTATATGTATAATATATAATTGAATATATTTTCATCATTAATTTTATACTGTATAATGATATTTCTCTAAATAAGAGTTCATGATAGTGGTATTGCATAATGTTGATAATTTGTTTTTTTATATTTTAGTCTATATATATAAAGAATTGTATTGTTTTTTTATATTTTAGACTATATATATAAAGAATTGTAATAAGATGTATAAATTACATGTTGATTAGATGAAAAGAATGAAATTTTTTATCACAATAACACATGCCAAGCATAAAGAAAAGAAAGCGTTTTAATATTGGCAAATTTACACGCATCCTGCATGATGCACAAATAATTGGATATCTACGAATAAAGGAAAAGAAATTGCAAACCAACGAAATTAGACTTTAAGATGTGTTTAAGGGATATAGTACGACACCCTATAAAATAATAGAAAAAAACACGTGTTGTTGTATAACTATTTCAACTCTTTAAAATATATTAGAAAGATCATATAATATTCTATAACTATTTCGATATATTTTTATAGATATTCAAAAAATATTTAAATAATTTATTTATGGTTGGATTGAAAAGATATAATATGCAAGTGGATATATATTTTTTGTAAAATTATAGTATTTTTTTTAATTTAAACTATATAAAAAAGTTATTGTTTACATTAGTTATATAAATAAAATAATATATAAAGCTAAATTTTTTTATTTTGGTTTACACGACAAGATAAGAATCCTAAGATGTAAGGTTGGCAAGTAAGCTTTATAAGATAAGAATTTGGAGTTGGAGGATTTACACGGCATATAAGAATCATATTTATTTGGGAAGCCTTATAAGATATGAATCCTATTTATTTTGGAGTTGGCACGACTTATAAGAATCCTATTTATTAAGTATTTTATTTTAAACAATTAGGGAATGTATCCGAACTAAAAGCCGAATCATGTAATGTTGCCAAATAAGCTTCTGAAGCCTGCGAAGCAGCCATTTAGGCTCAGCACGTTTTCAACAATTAGGGAATGTATCCGAACCAAAAGCCGAAGCATGTAATGTTGCCAAATAAGTTTCCGAAGCGTGCGAAGCAGCCATTTAGGCTCAGCACGTTTTCAACAATTAGGGAATGTATCCGAACCAAAAGCCGAAGCATGTAATGTTACCAAATAAGCTTCCGAAGCGTGCGAAGCAGCCATTTAGGCTCAGCACGTTTTCAAATTATTTATTTTGGAGTTGGCACGACATATAAGAATCATATTTATTAAGTATTTTATTTTAAACAATTAGAGAATGTATCCGAACCAAAAGCCGAAGCATGTAATGTTGTCAAATAAGCTTTCGAAGCGTGCGAAGCAGCCATTTAGGCTCAGCACATTTTCAAATTATATTAAGAGGGGATTATTTGTTACACGGGATTTTAACGGATTCCATTCCGTGATTTGCGTAACTGCCTGAAAAAAAGATTAATAAATAAATGTTAAACATAGAAAGAACTATTATCAGATATTGGATTTACAGATATTATGCAAAAGACAATTCTCTAGACATTAACTGTGCATTGAATAACAAATCATCGTGGATTTTGAATGGAAACATTTCAAAAATTTAAAATATGAAAAGCAGGCATAGAGTGATCGATCAAAAAATACGTTCTTCGTGATCAAGAACAAAGGTATATTCCAACGGAAGAATATAAGGTATATAAAATCGTTTATCTAGAATATTTTCAATATATATGTTTTTTCGTGATATCATGAACAATAAATCGGCGTTTATTGTCTATGTTTTTTTTTTTTTTATTTATAGATGGCTTCGCCGAAGATGATAATCATTCATCACAGCGGTGAGTGGAACCATAATCAATACCAAAATTTTCGGATGTCGGGTGTTTTGGTTCAACAACAATGCTGCTACGATGAGTTATGCAGCGTACTAATGGAAGAACTTGGAGTTACGTTGACCGATTCTACTTTAGAGTTGAAATATCAATTAAAAGAGGGATATCCACCAATGTGCATAAAGGATGAAAGAAGTCTCAAGTTCTACGTTGAATTGAAGTCGAGGGAACCAGACTACATGAAGTATCTTATATGCGTTGTAGTAAACTCTACAGTTGATGTGGCGAGGTCGGTCGAGAGAAACACAACTAATGAAGAAATGACGTTCAACTCAAATATAGCTCCGTTGAGGTACATTGCTCTTGATAATTATGTTGAAAATCCTGAAGGGCTTGTGAACTTTATGTCGTTTGCGCGCAAAGTAGCAGAAGATATGGTAGAAGATATACCCTACTGATGGTAAAATTGTATGGATGGAGGATCAGTTGAACTCTTAATTGTCTGTTGGTGTGACATTCAATGATAAATATATTTTGCTTAGGTTAATAAGTGTTCATGCAATTAAGAATCAATATCAGTTCAAGGTGGAAAAGTCGTGTACTAAACAGTATTACGTGAAGTGTGTCTCTAGCGATTGTACATGGTTTGTTAAAGCATCTCGTGTTGGTCGTTCCAGCACCTTCAAGATAAGAGAGCTTGGAACTGAACATAAATGTCCGTTTGATGTTCGAGCTAGTAGTCAAAGGCAGGCAACTCCCAACGTTGTGTCTAACCTCATCAAGTTGAAGTTCATGAACAATAAGACTTCATATAGTGCTGCAGACATCATTGATGACATGCAAAGCAGATACGGGATAAATTTATCGTATCACAAGGCATTGAGATCAAAACGCAAAACTATTGATGAAGTTTGTGGAAAGGCTAGTGATTCTTATGATTATATTCAACAATATCAGGAGAAAGTACGTGCATCAAATCCATGAAGTATATTGAAGTTGTGTACAACTTCAGAAAAGAATTTTTTGTACATGTTCATGGCTCTTGGTGCATCGGTCAACGGCTGGAAACATTGTCGTCCGGTTGTTTTTGTCGATGGGACATTTCTATCATCGTTGTATGGAGGAATTTTGTTAACAACATTCTGTCAAGATGCGAATTTTCAAATTCTACCGGTTGCATTTTTTGTCGTTGATTCGGAAAACAATCAATCATACTTGTGGTTTTTCAACAAATTACAAGCACTGATTGGTAACAAAGATAGGTTATGCATTGTTTCAGACGGACTTGACAGCATAAAGAATGTTGTATCAAAGGTAAATAGTATATGTTAAGTATATATGTCGTTTATTATAAGTATATGTTACTAAGACTGTATTTACATCTTGTGGGAAAAATAACAATTATAACTGATTATTCATTGTGTATTTAAATATTGACGAATATTTATGATAAATATTGATGAAGTTTATAAAACAATATGTTTTTTTTTTTCTCCAGGTATTTCCGAATGTAGCACACTGTCTATGCACATATCACATATCAAACAACATCAAGACACATTTTAAAACAGAAGCGCAAGTGGTAAAGGATTCCTTTCACGCAGCAGCAAGGGCATATACAGTTGAGGAATATGATTCGCACATGTCTGAGATAAAAAAGTTGAATGCTGACGTGATACCGTATCTAGAAACACTTGGAATACAAAAGTGGGCAAGAATTCTGGTAACGCAAAACACTCTGACCGGCTTGGAATCGGTTTGCTTCCTTCCTCCTTGCCGATAGAACGCCGCGTCCCTGCACAGAACTCTCACACCGGTGGGGTTTTCCGGTGAAGAGCCTCCGATGCTTAAGTCAGTATATGTTTGTTCAATTTTCCAAAGTAAAGAATGGATAAAATCGTAAACCCTAAGAAAAGACCCACTCCTACATATATAGGAGTGAGATACCTGCCCTAAGAGCTGCTCGGATATTGGTGAGCTGTCCTGCCCACGCTGCCCGTCCGTACGCAAACAGTGTGTGTGTTGTCAGAAATGTCAGGGGTGTCAAAGGTGGTTGTTGCCACTATCACTCTGCACCAATACGTTTTCGCCACGTGCCCCCCTCTGAGCTGAGGGGAATTATTCCCTTGCGCAAACCGTTGGGATATCCTGACATCACTCACGCGCCCACTCGTGTTCAAGTCACGCTCTCGACTGCTTCCTACCTGCTGCGTGCTCGATCTGGTCGAGCTCCCCCTGACTAAATCGATCCTCGACCAGCTCTGCTATTCTGCTCGATCTATTCCGTTTTGGTCGATCATCCTTCAACCACCGTGGTTTTCTCCACCCTATGCCTGCCTGACCAACATGATGGACCGGTCTGCTCCTTAGTCGTATAATATCCCATATCATCTAGTCCCCCCCACTCTGGTCGAGTCTGAATGACTCGATCTAAGAGTGGATTCGAGCTGTCTTCTTCGTTCTACTTATTTTTTCGATCATTCTTGTTGGTGTCCCCCTCTGGTCTCCTCTCTCGATCACTTTGTTGATGTTGCTATCTGGCCTTTCCTCTCGATCACTTTCCTTTTATCGCACGCTATGATTACTTTTTATTTCTTTTTATTACTAGCGTGATTTCCACCTGCCACATGTCTTCCTTCTCTGTACTTTTAATCATCACGTCTTCTCGCGATTTGTGTCGCTTCGATATCTACGCCTCTTTAATTGTTTCCGCCGTTGGATCTTCTTTTATCTAACGGTCATATTCCCCCAACTCTTCACCTTATTCATCTGTACTCCTATAAATACGATACTTAGTCATTTTTGCAGCTTTTCTCACCTTTGCGATTTTGAACCTTCTTTGCGCTCCACACTTTCTCTCTGCAAACTGTTCTTGCCTACTCTCAACGCCTGTTCAAGCAATTTCCAGCAACCACTTCTCCACCGCGACCATGAGTAAGTCTCCTGTGCTCCAATTTTATATTTACATGTGTTTATTTTGTCAATTTTTCGATTTTCCTGTTGCTTCTTCCTTTTCCCCAATTCTTCTCGCTTCGCTTGCGGCAAAAAACCCCCCTTTCTTGCT